GCGTTCGATGCAGTCGACGAGACGGCCGGGGGTGGCGATGATGATTTCGGCGCCGTCGCGGAGACTGTAGGCTTGTTCTTCGAGGGAGTGACCTCCGACGATACTGACGACGTTGAAGCCGAGCGGGCCGGTGAATTTTTTGGCTTCAATTTCGATTTGTTGCGCCAGTTCGCGGGTCGGTGCGAGGACGATGGCGTAGGGGCCGTCGGCTTTGCGCCATTCGAATTCGTCGATGCGCGGGAGTTCGGCGATGTAGCAGAGGAGGGGGAGGAGGAAGGCGGCGGTTTTACCGGAACCGGTGACGGCTACACCGATTAGGTCGCGGTTTTGCATAGCGATGGGGATGGCGGCGCGTTGGATGGGCGTGGGTTCTTTGTAGCCGACGCGGGATATGAGTTCCATGAGGCGTTTGGGGAGGTTGGATTCTTCCCAGGAGCGCATGGGGTTGGGGACGCTGCCGCCCTTGGTGCTGATGTTGAAGTCTTCCTTGAAGATACGCCAGTCGCGCTCGCGCATGTGTTCGAGTTTCTTCTCGCTCCAGTGCTTGTCGAGCTGGTTGCGGGTGCTTTCTTCTCGGCGGCGGCGCTCCATCTCGAGGATCTCTCTGGCGCGGATGCTGCCTGCTTCGCGGTCACGGTCCTCCAGCGCGCGGGCGTATTTGTGGGCGACGGATTCTGCGACATCGTCGCCGAAGCCGGCCAGACGGCCACGGCCGAAGAAGTTGGTTTCGTGTCGGTGCTGGTATAGCGGGTTGTAATCGCCACTGGTGTCTTCTTCGGCGTTCCATTCGAAGTTGAATTTGCGGTCCGTTGTCCTCTTGCGTTTCTTCTTGGCGGAGAAGTTGGATGTTTGGTCGGCACCCATGTATCTTTGTTTCACTAGGGCTGCTTGCGCCGCGGCCTCGTCCTCGTCCACGAACCGGCTGTCGCCCTTTCCGCTTGTCAGACCGAAGGACATGGATTTGGGAGGTGGTGGCGGCGCGAGATCGTAATTCTTGTTATGGGATTGTGAATGGCGCATGGCTGCCGGGGCAGTCGGGGCAGAGTCTGAGTTGCGCATGGCTCGAGGGCCAGTGGGAATGGATTTGGCATCGCCATTAGGGCCCTCGGAGCTGATCGAGGGCGAGTGCGTAGCACTTCTGTCGACGCCATTAGACGCCTCGGTTTTTAGTCTGCGGGTTGCTGCGACTTCCTGGGCCCGTTTCTCTAGTGCGAGCTTCTCACGTTCCTTCTTGGAGAGGAATTTCGGCTGTAGAAAGAAAGGTGGGATGTTAGCTATCTGAGCTTGTAGGGAATTCTTGGAGCTATGTCGTACCTTCGCAGCAGCAGCATCCGCCTCTCGCTTCTTCCGTACGAGTTCCTCCACACTCAGTGGCGTAGGTGCTGGTCGTTTCGTGCCCCATCCGACCTTCTTCTTCTTGGGCTCAGTCTCCGGCGGCGGCGCAGGTGGAAGATCTTCCGGCGGTGGAGGAGGCGCGGACGTGTCTGGCGGCGGCGGAGGGAGGCCGGAATCCTCTGGAGGAGGTGGCGGGGGAGTAGGCGGGCGTTCGATGGGCTCTGGAGGAGGCATAGGAGGGTGCGCCTCCGACGAACCGTTGGTCATGATACTATCCATGGCGACTGCAGAGGATGAAGCATGAGATGAACTGCAGCTCGGCGCAGAACTACTTGGTTTGTCTCCCGCGGCCTGGCCACTTCTTACGGTGGGGAACAGCGGCCATGTGCGCAGTATTCGATCACGTGAACGGAGATAAGGATAAGGCTACTCTAAATGTTTGAACACTACAGCACAGCATGTATCTTCTATTGAGGTAACTGGAATCACATGCATCGAAATGAAAGCTACCTACGCATTAGAATACACGGGGACAGTGTCCAAACTCATAAGGTCCACCCAACCGTATCCCATCATATCGGGAAGAGCAGTCGAGAACCGGTTCTGCACGTTGCAGATGCCGCCTCGCCTTTCGCTCAACACGCCATCGCTGAAAGCTGCACACACATCAGAAGAGAAATCATTGTTCTACATATCAGCAAGCCTTTCACAAGCTATGAGCGGGAAAGAGTACCATCCTCTTTGTGAGGAGTCAGATTGGGGTTGGGCGTTTCCGCGCCAACCGGATTCAGCAGCTTCTTTACTTGCCATCAGACTTACATGCCACCGTTGACCGGTGCCTGCTGATAGTAGGCGTAGGGGTTAGCTGGCGGGGGTGTTGGGACCACAACTTCCGCCACAGGCGTCGCCGACGGAACCGGCTGAGCTGGGGGCAGCTGCACCACTTCCGCGGCCTTCATCTTCGACACGGACGCCGGACCGTGCACTTCACGGTCCAGGGTCATGTACTCCTTTGCAGCATCCTTAGTGCCACGTTCAAGGAGGTAGACCATGTAGATCTGAACCAGCTCCCGCACCACGTCGGCCGGGAGGGTACTCTTGGACCGAATGTCCTCGATGACCTGCTTGATGCGCTCATACTGGACATTCTCAGTGGACGCGCTCGTGGGCTGATCGAGCTCGAAGTTCAGGTAGCTGGTCCAGAAGGGTCGGCTGTCCATGTAGTACTGCTGGTTCTTCTGGAAGACCTGACGGGCGTCCTCGGGAGAGCCCTTGATCTTCCACAACAGGCGAGCCCATTCCGCAACCAGTGCCGCCTTCGTAGCCAAGTCTGACTGTGGCGAATCCAGTTGGCTCTTGTACACTTCGATGGCAGCCTCGAGTCCGCCGTGACGGCGAGACATGTTGGCCAGAGACACAATCGTTTCGACGTGGTTGGGCAGGTTGATGAGGATGGCGTCGTGGATCTCCTTGGCAACGTCCACACGACCGCTCATCTCCTCGAAGTAGGCATACTGAAGACGGGTGGCTGGGTTGGCGATCGGCACGTACAGGCAGCTGGCACGCTGGTAGATGTTGCGCACTTCTTCTTCCTTGCCAGGCTGGCCGGCCATCCACCTGGCGTAACGTTGCCAGAACTCGTCGTAGTGAGCGCACGTCACCAAGCACCTCTCGTACAAGAATTGGGTTCGCACATAGGAGCCCTCAGATTCTTCGAAATCGAGGTACTTCTTCCAGTTGTTCAACTGGCCTTCATCGAGTTCGGTGACGTGGAAGTACGGGCGCTTGATCTCCGACTCGTATGTCCAACGTTTCGTGGTCTCGGTTTGGGTCTTGGAGAAGATCTCCAAGTGATAACTGTCTACGCGTAACCGCAGATCCCGCTCAACCTCTGCCTCTGCCTTCGCGCCAGGGGCGACATGCCCGGCAGCAGCATCAAGCTCCGCGCGGAACTGGGTCAAAGTCTCTGGAGACGCCAACTCCACCACAGGGCGGGTCTGAGCCAACTGCCTATACCTCTCGAAATACCGAGCGTATTGGTGCATGGGGATGTGAATCACCCGGCCCAGGATAGCGAATATCTTATCGAACGCCTCCAGGCGCTCCTCGAACTCGATGTACTTGTCCCAGAAAGGGTGGGCCAGGAAGTCTAGCCCAACGCTGGCTGCGCCGCGCTCGAAGAGCCTGCAAACAAACGAACGTTAGTAACAGAACGGGTACACCACCATCAGAACAGCGCTGGGGAGATGGGGGTATGGGAGGGGAAAGAAGGGGAGTGACAAGGATAGCAAACATGAGCGTCAGATTCCCAATGAGTGCGAGCCCAAACAACTAGGATGGTCAAACTGTGGATGAAACTTATGTTCCCCCGTCTGCTTCGATCGCAGAATAGGTGCCACCCGAACACAAGTCCTGGTGTTTAGTGTCCGTGCAGGGGAGGTGCTTGGCTTGAAATCAACTGTAAATGTTTCTTCAAAGGGGGTAGAGAGAGAGCAAACAGCCTGGAGAAGCCATGGGTGAGAAGTAAACTCCAGTAGAGTCCGGGTAAGGTGAAATCTCACCCGTCAGCGAGGGGGACTGGTGCAAATGAACATTTGCATCACGCGGGTCCGGCATCACAACCATGTCCGTGCTGCGTTTGTAACGGTTACGTGGGGGAAGGGAAAGGAAAGCAGCTCTACTATACTTACTCTCGAATCACATCGGCGTCATGGGAGGTCTCTGCCTTGAAGGAGCAGTAGTTGGTCCACAGGTCGACCGAGGGCGAGATGCTAGCGACACCGCGTTCATACACCTATTAAAGCATCAGCAATCCCGGTTGACTTCATCCAACCCTAAGTCAGGGATATGCATACCATGTCCGCAGCCTCTGTGCCGGTGATGGAAAACTCCAGGTCGGCATATTTCTTCCAGTAACCGAACAACAACGGGAACTTGGCCAAGAAGCGATCGTAAACATTGCGCACGGTGGTGATGGCTTGGGGGTTGGAGTTGCGGTTGATTCCGCCCTCGAGCGCTTCGCCAGCGCGAACCAGTTTCTCCCAGGTTTCGAAGTTATCCGGGTCATCGAGCTGTACAAACAACGAAAGTGTTAGCACATGTGATGCAGCATTTCCCGGCGACCGAGATGATAGATAGGATCGCATCATACCAGCTCAGTCTCGAGCTTCTTCAACTCTGCATTCTCCTCCTCGGAACCTCCATAGTTGTAGTCCGCCATGATGGCAGTTGATGTGGTCGGGGTCAAAAGAGTAGTGACAAGGATCGTCCGCGACAAGGGGTGAGAAAGGACGGGACGCTGTTAGGAAAGGAAACGGATCGGGAGCAATCCAGCGACCAAGATTAAAGGAAGAGCGGAGATATAAGGCGACCAGAGAGGTAGGGAGAAAGAAAGCACGCGAAAGAAGGAGGAGGAGAGAGAAAGCGAGGAAGACGGAGAGAGGAGGAGGATCAAGAACCAGCCACAAGTTCTAACTACTAGTTAGTTTAGCAGCAACAGTAGCAGCAGTAACCAGTTAGTTTACCCAGTTTACAGTAAAGTTACTTCCGTTCTCTTTGCTCTTTTCTTTTTCGCCGAGTTCCCGAGCCTCATCCCAAAACGGTTTAGTGCCGTTCCTGCAATTCTCAACGCGGACATCCAAAGAATCACCACCAGCTCGAATTATCCGGAGAGAAAAGCAGCCCCATCCATCCCATCTCCCCCTTCCTCACCAATTCACAGGAGAGGCAATCGGGAATTAACAGCCAAAATGGCCACCACACAAACCAGCAGCTTGGTATCCAAGCTCCCCATCCGCCTCCGCAACTTCTTCGCGCGCTATCCTCCGCAAATCTATTCCGCAGCCGTAGCACCACGCCCCGAAGCCCCCGAAACTGGTGCCCCCGTCAATGTCAACGTCGAGGATCTTCCCTCTCCTTACACGCCCAACCGTGATGCCAAGGGCTTCAAGCGTCCCGATCCTAAGGCATTCTCTCCCTCCAAGGCTATCCTGCACTCCGACTCCAAGCACCCCAACCCGTTCCTGCCGCGCAAGAACTTCCGCACCGGCAAGTGGTTTGGACCCCGGATTGGACTGCGTCGACAGGCGGAGCTGGTGAAATTGGCGATCAAGTACAACGTTGAGGCCTTGTTGCCGCCTGGCCGCAAGTCGACGGAGTTCAAGGAGACGAGACGTGCGGAGCGTGGTTTGGCTATCAAGGGTACTGGTATTGGACAGAAGGTCAAGGGTCACAAGTGGGAGAGGACGATGGAGGCTCGTCTGGAGGACAGACGCAAGGCTATGATGGAGATGCCGGAGATGATCCGTTTGTGGAAGCAGGTTAGTATTCCTCTTCTCTCCCTCTATCTATATCTTTTCGTTCGGTATGAAGAATGGTGCACTGACTCGGTATTACTTCACTTTACAGAGAGGTCACGGTCGTGGCTGGAAGTCGTGGCCCAAGCGGTAAATGCCTACGCTTCTGGTGTATTATCTTCTGTTTTTCGCCTCGGGTGGAATGGATCCGAGGCTTGCATAATGTCGCATCTGTCCTATTTTATACATCTCGCCGAGCCGGAACCATCTATTCGTCTATCCAGCTCGGGGAGAGTTTCGATTGAATCATTGTTGACGGGGTTCGGCACGGGAGTTTGTCCTCTTATGTATTTATTGTACAAATAGCTTGTTTCTCAAAATCATGCACATTGAATGTCTGCGTGAATGGAAATGGTATCAATAGAATGTTGAATGCAAACGAACCATTCAAAGGAGATGTCCACCTTGTTTATAATGTCACACATGCTATAATTAGTCATATTCCAATTTGATACATGCTTCCAATGCAATGCAATGCTTATCCACAACCTATATGTAAATCATAACTCATCATTCATGGCCCATAGTAAGACGGAGTAACCACATCTCCCACCATTACTGTCCTTGACTTGGTGTTATTTCCATCGCCAGACGAAATCACTAAGTGCCGCCCAAAGTAAATCTTATTACCACTCTTCCGCGTTTTCGCCAATGTCGAATATGGTTCCTCACCACGCACACCAGTAAGCTGGTCAATACAGACCATCTGGCACCGCTGACAAGATCCAAGCACGTTGAACTGAAGGTTTTCGGGCCCGATGTGCAGACTCTCCCAATGGTCTTCTATATACGGTCGTCCTGCACTTACCGGCTGCGGGAAATCCTCCGCAACGACGATGTTAGCACGAAATACATCGGCAGCTACAGCTTTCTTGCGGCCAGTGCTGTTTGTCGTTGTAGGACTGCTTTTGATGGTTTCGTTAAGACGATTCACGGATGAGCGGGAGATGAGCAGTATTGGACTCTCGTTTGATAAGAGAATTGGATTTCGTTCTGCCTCAGCGGTCGGGGTATCTTGGGGGAATGCGCCTGGCATAGCTTGTCCAAGTGGTGATCTCCTGCTGCCGGCACCACGTCTGGGCTCGGCAAGTCTGGTGGAGGATTGAGGTGGGAATCTTGCGAGTGTACATGGTACACCAAGGAAATCGGAGAAGAAGGCGGACACCGTGGGAGATGAATATGCTTGCACAATAACCTGGTCTCCGCAGACGGTAGAAGGTTTCGAGCTATTCTGGCATAAAGAGGTAGCTGTGAGGTTGCTATTCTCGCGATCCAGAGGGATCTCAAGCGTTCTCTGGCTTGGAGAATGTATAGTTCCACAGGTAACGCGCAATACACCTTGACCGAGATCGATAAATGGTCGTATAAGAGCCATACGAGGATACCTTTTCTGATTGAGAGCTGTACCTGTGCCTTGGTGGAGCAAGCACCATTCGCGATCCCAGGCCAGACCTTCTCGTCGGATTTCCCAGCGCTTGCCGTCGGGTACTTTGAATGCACCACAACTCTTAATGGGATATACGGACAGACTCTCGACGTGGAACCCGGACCGGTGAGTAAGGTTAGCTTCCGGTGGTGGCAGCAACGCACACATAGTGGGGCTTATTTCGACGTAAAATTCCTCGATGAAAGCCATAAAAGTGTCAATATCGGCCATGTTGCTCATCGCACCGAGGCTTGCTCTCAGAATCCCAGTAGGTCGTCCGTCCATGATATCATGGTCATCGCCACAACGCATACCTGCTCCAAAATGTCGAAGCATGTCTGCTCCAGTCCAGTTAAGGCTGGCCGCTGTGCCTCCCGGATTGCATAGCGTTCCAGATCTGATTTGTATGTTTCTGACGCTGGCCAGTTTCTCCACTTCGGATTTACCAATCCAGGCCCCTTGACTGCTTCGCAGATTGAAAGCCAAGATTGGACCCTGCGAGGAAGGATCGGTATAGTCAGTGTGTGATGGTTTGTACACATGGCAAGCTCTCTCCCCGTTATGATGTCTCAAGGAAATCATGCGATCATATAATCGCTTCGCTAGGAAGCGGGTGTGCGAAGAAATATTATCCATAGATCCAAAAAGGCGCTCATGCGTATCAAATGCAGATCCCAATGCGATTATATTATGGAACGGAAGTGTCCCATCTTCCAGTCGCTCATGAATAGATGATTGCTTCTTCGCATGCCATTTTGTCCCTTGTGTCAAAACCATATCGACAGTTCCCCCACCGAAGAACTTCCGCTTGTCGAAGATGTGTCCAGCACTCTTGCGAACAATCAATGCACCGAGGTCCGGAAAACCGAAGATCTTGTAGAAGCTGAGAACGGCAAAGTCAGGTGCAGCGGAAGCATCACTCAGATCGAGGGGGGATGTCGACACAAGCGATGCGACATCAAGAAGCGTGTAAGTGTCTTTGACTGACTCCCGTATCCTACCGCACCATTCACGAGGAAATCGCCGGCCGTTCATATTCGACTGTGCAGGATATGCAAACAGTCGAGGACCTTGCACCGGTTCTGTGTTTAGTTGAGAAATCCAGCTCTCAACCTCTGCGTCCGTCGCGAAGCACCTGCTCCCAGTGCCTGCAAGCTCTCGCGCCCCGACCAAGCTCGTATGCGATTCCACATGGTATCCATACCAGAACCCTTGCGGCGTTGAGTCGCGGAGAGAATCGACAACTAATTTAGTTGCGGCCGTAGCGTTCGCCACAAAGACGAGATCAAATTCCTCTGGATCAGCATTGAAGAAACGAAGGGCCCGTAGGCGGATATCATCCACGCGTTGAGTCGATAGCTGTGAGGGTGCGGACATGGAATGGGGATTCCCGTAGAGGTTCGACGTAAGGTCTCGGGAGAACGATTCAATCAAGGACTTCGCGTAAAGCGTGGTACCTGCATGGTCAAGATATGTCGTGTCTGGTTTCGATATTAGATAAATGAGCTTCCATTCATCTATGGTTCAGAACGCATAGAAGCAACCTAGCACGCGACCTACCTTTGAGCAAGGGATATTCACGTTCCCGGATGACGTCCACATCATCCGGGTATTGGCATTTGCCCCTGTCTGTCATCTTGGTGGACCGTTCCAGACGACATTAATTGCAAGTTAATAGTAGATTATAGTTGTAATGTGGTGAAGGTCGAGTGTCGCATTGCTGGCAGGGGTCGAGAGTGAGGTGGCGACCGCTGATTCACTGCATATGGAATGCGCCCTGAACCACAGATGGCAATGTAAAGTCCGCTAAACACCCAAGCATCCAATAAGGCTCTTGACCTAAGTAGGAATAGAGTTGTCAATCACTGTGCAAGTAGACTAAGTTATATACCGTGTAGCGGTGGAGGTATGAATAGAAATAAAGAGTAGAAGTGCTAATTTAGTCTCTTTGCCGATAAGGCTAATCGATCGGAGCTTACCGATGACGAACTTGCCGACGGCTAGCCGCGGACCATCTTCAACGCTGAAACTTGAGTCTCTGCTGGCAACGAGAGAGCAGAATATAATTTGAATTGGAGAGTAGCATTCGGGTTAAGGATACGTGGCATACATAAATCTTCTGGAAAGGACAGCTACCTGCAACAAAGCCTGAGCGTGTTCAGCCCGACCAGCACGTCGAAGCTTCCCCACTTTTGCGCTGCTTATCGAGAGCGGGGAGCGGCCGGGTCCGAAGATCAATGGGATTTACTTTCGGCAGTAATGGCCCTGCTCAAAAGTGGTGGTGGGAGGGATCCCTTACTATTTTGTATGTAAAGAATATAAATCTGTTTTTGCACTAGGCTATATTCTCCTACTAAGATAGCTTACAATATCACAACTTCACAGTAACGGCCAAAGGATCATGTAGGGGTCTACCTAACGAGCAAGTAGTTCCTGCGTAAACATAGTCCACATATCTTATAGGGATTGCCACAAAAATGAGAAAGCTAAGACAATAACATTGTCAGAAAGCATCAAATGCCGTACAAAATGGACAAGAAACTTTGTCAAATAGAAACATTATCATCATATATGGAGCAGTAACAATCACAGATCATCAATGGTTGATTGCTAAGACTCATGCTGTCGGTATGCCTTCCCTCGTAACTTCGTTTATTTCAATTTTTTTTCTGTCGTTCGTTTCGCGTTATCCATTCCAATCATTAATCCGTATCATCCCATCATATCTGTTGCTTGATATGCAAATCGTTCTATACCACATACTGCTGCCGCCGACCCGAGCTGCTGTGGCGCCGGTGACCACGTCGGCTGCTGTGACTCCTGCGACGGACAGTGGTCTCCCTGACAACAACCTCCGGACGCTTGTAGATGGCGAGAGCAAGAATGGCCGTCCAGAGGAAGAAGACAACCTCAATGATCCCTAGTGCAAAGCTGGCCTTCAGCATCGCGCAAGTCTTGTCGATGTGGAAGGACAGCGGGTTATCGGTCCTGTAGCCGTAGTATCCGAAGGGACCCAGCGAAATGTACACCGAACCACCATCCCAATGCGAGCAACTGGCCCCTGCGATAAACCGCAGCTCGTAGACACCCGCAATGAAAGCACCAAAGAAGAGAAGGTCGATGAAAGCAACAAACATAGCGGAGCGCTTGGTGGTCGAAAAGCGGATCAGGGTATCGAGGCACCAGAAAGCTGCAATGACGCTGACGATGAAGAGGACGAGAATATAGGCAGGGGTAATTTGGTTCGCATTGAGGTAGCCATTGACGAAGTATGCCTAGAACGATGCTGTTAGACATGGCCGTCCGGGGATTGGGTTAGGGTTGGAATGCACATACCATCATTCCGATGATCGGAATCAGGAAGACAAGCTCCAGAATGCGGTTGCAGATGAAGAATATACTGCCAATCATTTTGTCGGATATGCGCAGATTGCGATTTGACCTTCTCGGAGTGTAATTGAAATACTAGGATCAGATGCTCAGAGGCGTAAATAAGAGTAGGCGTCTGGGCTGAACGTGGCGGCCACTACAACGTCATCACACGCGGCACGTTAACCAACGAGACAATGTTTTCACGACACAATCTGGCTGTGTTCGGCGTACTGAGTGAAGCACCGTGTCAAGGGAGATTCTGTGGTTGCGCCGGACAACGTATAGAGGAGAACTGGTTAGGTGCCGATCAGATGCAGCCCAACTCATAAAGGCACGAGCCCAGCCGTTACGTGCTAGAGAAAGCAAGGTACAGGTGATGCATCCAGCCCAAGGCAGTATGGAAATGAGATGCAGAAGAGAAAAGAAAGAGGAACCGGACGGGGATGAATATGCGAGTCGGGGAAAGACAGAGGAGGCTGGGCGATTCAGGCGGCGGGGTGGCTGGGATCCCAGTGTGAAAACAAGGTTCTATTGCCCGACCTTGAAACAGCGAGATTCAATAAATGTTTCAACAATTACTATATAAGTCGGATCGAGTCACCGGAATCGATAGTTCTACGCCAATCAATACAAAAGGTATACAATTCTTTTTCTCAACATACAATCGTTGGTGATTATTGTTCGGTGTTTACCGCCATCCTTGTCTTTAGGAGGGCCGTTGCCATAGCTGAGTCGTGGGTGGGGCTGCCCGGCCCACGAGGTGCTCGAGCCACGGTTGAGCGCCGGTCTAGCCCTCAGGAACGCTTTCTGCCTCTTGTGCGGCAGCATCCCGGATCGACCAAGAAAGTAACCAGGACTATTTATATCCGATGCAAGGAGAGTGAGATGGAGAGCTGTTGCGGTCTCTCCTCCTTCACACTGTAGTAATATGGTCGGCTTTCGCCCTCTCGGTACCAAACCAGATCCAACTATCCAAATCTCTAGATGCGACCAAGTATGTCTATGAAATGGCAAAAATACACCCATAATTCATCAACCAGAACTGAGGTTTTAGACTTCCCGATACGGCATATCTGTTAGGTCCCGCCCTCTGTCCGCATGAGTCGAGTGCGCGCCCGATGTTTCGTGGGTACTGGTGGTTCCAAGTACAACCTGCGGGGTCTGGGAGTGGTATGCCGTATCAACATCGAGTCGCGCCGTTGGTCCGTTCAAAGCTGGGTTCTGCGTCCGGGCATAGCCAGGCTGCATCTCATATCCACCAGCAACATCCTCACTGGAGGATGACCAGTTATCGTCTTCATCACGTCTTGAGTAGCCGTACATGTTCGAAGTGTACGGATTAGATTCCGGTAGGTACAAAGGCCTACCAGCATCACTTCCGGTCGACTTCGACTGAGGAGGTTCGTTCAATCGCTCCTCCTCCGGGTTCCTTAGAGCGGCAGTGCTTCCATCAGCAGCCACGAGGCGGACAGTCTCGGCAGGCCCCACGGGATCCCTGCCCCACGTCCGGATGGGATAGGCGCGTCCTTTCTTCCAGGGCTCGTTGAGGGAAGGGAAATATTGACGATATGAGATGCAGGCACAGATAATACCTAGGAGCGATCCGGTGATGACGTCGAATGGATGATGCCTTGCATCCATAATACGGCTCACCGCAACAAGCGTTGCTGCAAGAGACGGTATCATAACCAAGAGTGTCTTCCAGGCCTCGCCGCGGTTGTCCATTATGTGCAGCTTGCCACTAAGCCAAAGGGTGAGATAGAATAAACCGGCAAACGACGCTGTAATCATTCTATTAGTTCTCAATGCGAGTTAGTGACAACTCAGGTGGATTCCTCACAGCTACTATGTCCTATAACGACGAATTAGCATAAGAAACGAATTCAGTATCTTTGAAGTGCTGTCCAACCTGAAGGCCATGACCGGAAGCCGTCTTTGATAAGCGCATGTTCACCGGTACAGATAGTGGAATTTGACAGTCCGGGTATTGCGTCCTGACTTCCTGCGCGGGGCTGGCACCGATCAATGAAGTCAGGCCTAGGCTTTCCACAAGCATTTTTCAGCACCTGCGTGATGACAAAGGCCAACCCTTGTGAGAGCAAGAGCCCTAGAATACCACAGTTGAGCTCCCATAGCCGATCTTTCCACCTATATGGACCAGTGAATTTGCGCTTCCCCGAGACTGGATGCTGCGTCTTGTGATGCGAGAAAAGCCCGTCGATGAATAGCGTATAGACGATAATGATGACAAGGGGTGCTAGGCCGGAGATACAGAGGGCTTCCTGAATGGTTATCCGCTCGTGGACTGCATACGGGTATTGAATTGAGATATTTCGTAATGAGAAGTGCTGATGATATGGTTCAATGGAATCAAGGACGTAGAAGCCTCCAATGCACGCACTATTGCAGTAATTATTAGCAGATGCCCCCGACGATCCGCCAACAGGTTGAACTAACATTAGGATAACATAGTCAAAGATATAACTGACATGAGCGACACATGTTAGCAATGAGTACCATTTCCTCCCCTCAGAATTGAATCCTCACGATAAGATGACTCGCTGCTTCAGGCGCCGCTTAGAGAAAGGCAGCTTTTCGGGTAGACGGTCCATCGGATCAGGATCCACTTGGTTTAAGACACAATGCAATAAGTGAGGGGCTCAATTCTCCTTGTTCACAGCTCGGATATATCAATCTGGCCAATGTTCAGTGCATTTATTTTCCTTGAAAAAGAGCAGCCTAACGCGACCGGTGTGCGCGTGAGATTTGGAGCACGTGAGGGAGTCTGTCGACAGCTGAAGTGTCAATTGAGATCTGCCCAGCGGCGAAGGCCAGCAATAAAAGAATTCGGAGAAGGCTGAGTCCCTGATTTGTGACCTGCCAATGAGAATGAGACAGAGACAAAGCATGGGGCTGTGGGCGACTAAATATGGGGGAAGTCTGAATACTCGTTGCCTGCAGCTCTTTCGCCGACCCACTCGCCCAGAGTACATCGGCTCGACCACGGCTCGGTCAACCGCTGGCTGCCTCGTCTCAATGGAAGACCCCGGTATGGGCCATTAAACCTTGTTAGTCCTATATCATTGCCTGAAGGGAAGGATGGATAGCGGTAGATACCATCATAGGTGCAAGATGCCATTGACTACCGAGTAGCTGGGCCGGGAATGCAATTAGGCACGGAGTGTCATTGACAGATGATGGACCGTGTTAAGTGAACAGACCCTGCTTGATCGACAGTCGGGCGGTTAACTTTGGCTCGGTATGGCCGCTGTTATGATACAACAATATCAGGGGTGGATCCCTTGGACAGCCTGTAACGCTCTTTCTGTCATTTTCACATCGTATGCTTATGTAATGTATGGATGTCGATCCTATTGCCAATGAGTCGAATTAAATGACAGTTCCGACTTTTAGTCCTTGCGGGTTATAGCACGCCAGAATGGGAAGTTTGGGTGATCTTCGCTGAGAACCTATTTACATTAGCCCTGGTAGGTTAGTATTACAGTGGTTCAACTGACATTATTCGGCTTGACTGCCTGAGCCTGTCATGCCAGGCTGCTAAATATAATCTACGCGACACCATCATCTGTACACCAACATATTCTGATCAACTATCAATTACAATTAGAAATCCAGCTATATGTCACTAGTATAAGTATTATTTCTTTTCTACACAATGACTGCTGAGTGGGGAGCTTTGAATATTGTTACACCACACTACAAATGACGAGAATTACCCTCACTGCGGCGTCTACCACCCGAACTCCACAAAATACCCTTCATCCTCCACATCCATCCCAGACAGTTCTTCTGGAGACCCCTTTGTTGCCGCGCAGACAATAGGCTGTGCCCCCTCCTCAGCAGACTTGGCACCACGGCGTCCCCCAAAGTCCTTTTGACAATAACCCGGGCAAACCACGATTGAGAGAATGTTCTCCTTCTGCAGGCGCACCGCATTCGCCGCATTGATCATGTTGAGGGCGGTTTTACTGCTTCGGTAGGCTGGCAGCTCCCAGACCTTAACACTATACTCCGAGTTAGACGAGTAGGCTATCCCAATCTGCCCGAGGCCGCTGGTCACGTTGACGATGCGCCGATCAGAATACTTGGAAGCACGGAGAAGAGGAAAGAAGGTATCTATTACAACAGCCACCCCGAAGACGTTGGGTCTCGAACACTGCGCGGTAGGCCTCACGCAGCGTGGCGTTGGGATCAGATGATCGATTGATGCCGCCATTATTGACAAGAATGTCGAGTGAACCGAACCGTTCCTGAATGAAGGCGGCAGCAGCTTTGATAGATACGTCGCTGTTGAGGTCTAGTATCACTGGTGCAAAGTTGTTGGAGGAATTGCCTAGTTTCTTGATAGCTTCCTCGGCTTTCTCTTGCGTCCGGGCACCAATGAGGAGACGGTATCTGCCGGTGCTGCCAAGCTGTTTAGCTGTGGCATACCCTAAACCACGGTTGGCACCAATGTCGCCTGCTGTTGATGAATGCGAGCATCGATAACAGTCATCCTCACCCATAGATGGGACATATTTCTTGTCTCGTCAAACCACAATACGAAGTTAGAATATCGAAAAGAGGAGACTCAAGACTTCGGGATGCTGCAAACAAAATCTTGACAGCCACATTGAGCTGCAAGGATATTATCAGTGCAATCGTGGCATTCGACCCCACTGCCCACGCGTCAAGTGCCTGGACAGTCCTCTCCCTGGGATTGACGGTACCTGACATCATTGTATAATCACAGTTCACTTGCCTAATATAGTGTTGGTAGATGACACGGAATTATCGTGATCAACAGATGGCCTGGTTCCAGTCGTCTGCCATCTTAACTGACATCCTAGCTCGGTATGCCGTTACAGAGAAGCTTTACCGTGACGAAAGCTCCAAGTTGAATGACAAGATTGAGGATGCCATCTTGAGGGTCTATATCGCTGTTCTAAAGTCTACGGCAGAGGCAATGACCATCTATCGCTCAACTACAGGTAAGAGATTGATGCGTAGTGTAGTGGCCCTGGCAAACCTGCCCCTGACAGAGATTAGTCCTCGATTGACACAGAGGAAACACAGCTGGGAAAGTGGTTGCAAATTTATCAAGAAATGCAACGCAAACAGGAGGCCAATAATATACTTCTTGGAGTTGATCGGCTTCTTGACGGTATCCGAGATATTGCCCAGAAAATCGAACTCAACAAGCTGCCAATAGCTGAAGGGGCTCATTTCGATTCCCACATGGATGAGGACCAGGCTGAATGTCTGGAGAATACAAGAGTTGAGCTTCTTGATGATATCACGAACTGGGTAGATGATCCCGAGGGAAAGACCATTTTTTGGTTAAGTGGTGTAGCTGGAACTGGATTAACAACAATTTCCCGGACAGTAGCGCGAAAGCTGCAGGAGAGAGAGCTGCTAGGAGCAAGCTTCTTTTTCAAGAGAGGTGAGGGTGATCGTGGGAAAGCTTCGCAAGTTGTCACCACTATCGTTAAGCAATTCATGATTGCTCTTCCTCAGATGAGGAAAGAACTTGCGACAGCCTTGGAGAACGACTTGATGATAGTTTCCAAGTCACTGAAAGATCAATTTGACTATCTGTTGTTGAAGCCGCTTCTGAGCGTGAAATTTAGCAATGGGCAGCGCTTACCGCTTGTCGTTGTAATCGATGCCCTAGATGAGTGTGAGGAGCGAAGCATTGAGACGATCATTCGACTTCTCCCTCGGGTACAAGAATCGAAAACGATACAATTAAAGGTCTTCATCACCAGAAGACCCGAGCACCCAATCTTTGAGGGCTTTGAGAGGATAGAAGACGAACACAAAGATGTCGTTCTCCATGAAGTTTAACATGGTACAATCAAGCATGATATGGCTCTATTCTTCGAGGACCGTTTATCGAAAATCCGAAAGAACAACAATCTTGAAGAAATATGGCCTGGAGATACCAAGACACAAGCTTTGACGACATGGCAATACCGTTATTCATCTTCGCTGTATCTGTCTGCCGCTTATTAGTGGAATACCGATGGGATCCAGACGACAGCTTGAACGACATATTGAAACGTCAATACAATAACTCTAATCTGGATAGAACGGACTGTTCTGATAGCACTTGTTGCATGTTGTTCTCACCGGATGAAAACTTGCTTTTGGCTACTTGTGGTCACAAAATGTGCTTATGGGATGCATTTACGGGCACATGCAAGTGGACCGTGGAGCAAATTTCCTCGAACAATCTATCCCTCCAACATGCTCATACGGTAGCTTTCTCACCATCTGGAAATCTCCTGGCCATCATGGTTTAAGGTAGCCCGGAAGAGCGACGGATATTCGTGGCTTTTCGACACCGACATTCAAGAAAACAGAATTCATCCAAAGGCCCATGGCAACATCATATCGGTGACTCATGATTGGATAGGCCTCGGAAAAGATAGGTTTCATTGGATATTATCTGAATTTCGGGGATTTTGGACCGCACAACAGGTTGTTGGGAATACAATTATTTTGGGATGTGACACAGGTGATGTAATTTGTATAGGTATTTGGCCCGAGGAGGTTAGGAAGGTTTGAAGCTTAATACATCACTCTACATTCACTTGTGCTTGTGGTTTTGTGTTCTGCTTAATTTTTTGTCGTTTGCCAATTGAGAATATTGTCGCTCTATATATGTATAGGAATTGTTGCTTCAAATGAATTCAAGCAGTCATCTCACTATCAACATTATTCACATATTACATTTATAAGGCATGTTCATCTTTGCGGATAGTCATAACGTCTGCGTTGATCAGCCCTCATTATCCTAGTCACATGTATAGCCTGCACCAATTGATTTACTCTTAGGGGAATGGACTTCTTTCGGCATCTTAAACACCGAGAGTCACAGTGCCAGTATTATAAGGCATCCTCAAGACACTTTCTGCTTATATCAAGATTATATTTGAGCAGAGCAGTATATAGATCTTTCGAGGGGTCCCCCGGAACGCATAAGGATCTAAAGACTGTACCAAGCACATTATCTCTGAGGATTTGATGAACAGGTCAAGTAGTTAGACAAATTGGGAACGCCAAAAGCCATCAGGATAGTTGTAAAAGAGATACGTGTTCATGCAATTATACTACCTCACACCCGCCATTAAGCAATGAAGTTCCGTTGAGGAAGGGGTCCTGCAGCCAAATGCTCTTATTCCCACTTGTAATAATTCTAGCATAGACGGCGGCTAACGATATGATAACCCATCAGCTGAACAAGGCTATCTCCTCCCTCATCCAGGCGTCGATTGGCCACAACAAAGCAAGGATTACAATCCATCCAAGAAGGCGGCGCAACATCGTGCAGCTACAGCGGGCTATGCCTTCCGAACCCCGCACTTAAGAACAGAGATCGAGACAATATATGAGCTCCCATATTCCATATATCCAAGTATCCAACAATTCCATCAACCCACAGAGAATGCCACTATCACCATGGCCACCATACTCTGGGACCCAGACCGCATTCTCCAAATTACCAGAGGCTCTTCCGAACAAGGAATGTTCTGTCTTGGTCGCGCGCGCTCCAGTTACGCTAGTCGCTGTCGCTGGGACATCCCCTATTCAGGCTACCAGACTATCCGGGAATCATTGAATCAGCTGGCTAGGAAACTGCCACATGAGATATCAGACGACGAGCTGAAAGAAATAGCTGAGCGGGGATTATGCGATTATCATTGTGGCCAGGTGCACGAGGTCGTTTCCGGATGGCATGATACCCTTGCCAGTCTTCAGAATTTGTACTGGCCGTATAAAGGGCGGAAGGGGACGAGGCATCCATTATACCAGGTACTTCAGGACGAGATCAGGAAATCTTCCGGATACCCCTCGCCAGGGGAAGATAGCAAGTACTTGGAGTTGATACAGGCGGGGAATTTGGTAGAGGCGGGGAAATTGATTGATTTTCGGGATTTGCAGACTAGGCTTGAGAATTCTCTGGATAATTGTTGGGCTCAACGCGAAGAGAATGTTCGTCTGAGGGTGGAGGCTATGTCAAGAGAACAGGGCTGTGCACATCTTCAAGAACTGCTGGGAGAAGTCAAGGCCGAATTGTCCGATGTGCAAGGCAATAATAGCATACTCACATGTACCATTAGTGATCTGCAGGGTGTGTGCGATCGCAAGATGAGACAGTTAACGGATATCACGGCCGAATTGTCAAAAGCGCAAGGCAACAATAGCAGTCTCAAAGATGCCAATGAGGAGATGCGCAAAGAGGTCGAAGACAAGCAGAAACAGCTGAACGATATCACAGCCGAACTGTCAAATGTACGGCGCGCCAATGAAAGAATCAGAAACATCAATGAAGAGATGCACAAAGAGATGGATGTCAAGCAGGAACAGATCGAGACTATCACCTCTCAACTTGCCAGCATGTCGACAGATTTGGACAGTACTACGAAAGAATTATCAGTCGCTTGTGAAACGAGAGGACAAGTACAGAATGATCTTCACGCAGCACTCGAGGAAATCAGCAATCTCCAAGCTCAGCTTACTGAGATTCAAGTACAGCAATCCACTACAGTCTGGTGCAAGATCAAGCGTTGGATTCAAGAGAAAGCTTCATGTTTATCTCGTGATAGACGGAGACGTGGAATACGGGATGAAGACGAAGAGGTTGCACTTGCTCCTGTGAAACCGAGTAATCTTGCTTGAGTGATGTCTATACATCTTTAGGGTATATGCTATCTTGAAATGAGATTCCTGCTCTTTACTCAGCATCTGTTACCAATAGTACTAATCAACCAATCGATTACGCTAATCCAGAAGGATACACTCAACCTGCGGCACGTATTTCTTTTGCAAAAGCCATAATGCCTGCTCCACCAGATCAATTCCACATGACGCACTGCTTAATTCTTCACTATCAGAGCCTTGCATCGCCCCATCGAAGATCTCCAGATCAGCGTGTGCCCGATGCGCATGCCTTTCCAGATGATCCGACGCAGCCGTACAGCCAAGAAAGACGCGAATGCTAACACGAAGTGTAGAGCATCAGATTAGTTCAATGCAGCAAACCCATGTCAGACAACAATCCACGAATTATGACATAGAGTACTATTATGGTTGATCTTCACAGAGACCCAAAGCACATGACGAAGCTCCATTACGTACAATGCCTCACTTATCTTGGTTCTAGGGCAATCATTCGTACTGACAATTACCCGATGACGACTACTCGGGCTGATCAGTTTGGGGATCTCCCTCAATTTTCTTCCTACTACTCAGATACCTCAATAAGTCTATTTAAAGCAGCAGAAAAAATTCTATAACATCCACCCAGTGGAGTGGAGAATTGTGTCTCGAGCCGGGTGTTGACGGATAGCGTCGTAGCGAAGGGATCAGTTTCCACAGGGACCAGACCCATCGCAGACCCTTTCTATACCCTGTATTCGGGCCGATCGAGAAAGTTAGCATACAAATTTGTGCTTGTGCTAATAGTGCTTTATGGATTGTGCACAGTAAGCGAAGGGAAACTGTGCTGCCTGGGTGGGTAAGCAGTGATATTTAATGATGTGGGCCGGGGTCTCGTGTCCACTTAGTACGGCTTACCCTGTATAGCCCAGGTTTTTGTAAGAATAGATGGGATCTACGATGTGAACTTAGATAATACTATGTATAAAGGGAAGTGATCATGGGGTTTACTGTTGGTACTTAGAACGGGTTTGGGTGGCATGTGTGCTTCGTAATCTTCGACCTTTTTCTTTTTCTTGTGTCTGACATGGTCATTTTCCGGGATCTTGCTGAATAAATGTAGACAACTGAGTCGGATTAAGAACTTCAACACAATGTAGGCAATACTACGCGGGTTTGTATCAAATATCTGATAGAAATACTTGATTAATGTGATTAGACCCGAGAGCTATAGCTTATAATACACCGCTACTAGCTGACAATAAATTATCGTTGATAAAACCAATTTTGTATTTCCAATATCCATATTTTCTCCGGTCAGAGACCGTATCCGGCGCCCGGTTAAGTATCAAAAGAAGGAATGGTCATGTCTTGAACTAAAGGTAATAAAAAATCAAATAAATAGAGAACATAACGGGTCCATTAATCATGTTCGCGTTGCCGGATGCGATCGCTATGTCTGACGTGCTTAGCAGACCGTGATGTACAGACCGAGACTAGATTTTCAGTTAGCAGTAGTTCACAGAAGACGATGTCATGGAATACACTTACGGAGAGGGGTTGTAGTCCTCAAAGAAGTTGAGGTAGGTGCTACCAGCCTCCTTCATCTCGTAGCTGACAGTCTGGCCAGCCGGGCAAGAGAAAGTGGAGATCAGGTAAGAGTTGCCAGGCGAGAGGGTGAAGTCGCCGTAGTCCTGCTTGACTCCAGGAGCGTTGTTGTAGGTCGTCGACTCGCTAGCAGCAGACTCGAGCTGGGAGAAGTCAACCTTGCCGTCTCCGCTAAAAGTGTAGTCGGAGGTCTCGAGCTGATCCTTGGTAGGGAACAGGAAGATCAGACTGCAGGTCTTTCCAGAGTCCGAAGAGGGGATGTCGAAGTTGAAGATGGTCGAGACAGTGGAGGAGACGGTGCCGAAGTACTGAGTGCCATAGGCGGTGTCGGGGGTGGAAGAGTTGATCGGGACGATCAGATGAGGGTACTCATAGTCGCCAGAAAGATCGGTGGGGCAGCTGGCAGAGGAAGACTGAGTGGCCGTACCAGAAGGCTGAGCGCTACTGGGAGACGCGGAGGTCTGGGGGTAAGAGGGAGTGCCAGACGGCTGAGGAGCAGGAGTTCCAGAAGTCTGGGGGTAGGAGGAAGGCTGAGGGGCAGGAGTCTGAGAGGTCTCAGGAGAAGGAGTCTCGGATGGCTGGGGGGCAGGAGTCTGAGAGGTCTCAGGAGAAGGAGTCTCGGATGGCTGAGGAGCAGGAGTGCCAGAGGTTTCGGGGTAAGAGCTCTCAGAAGGCTGAGGAGCGGGCGATCCAGATGGCTGAGGAGCGGGCGATCCAGATGGCTGAGGAGCAGGAGTCTCAGAAGGCTGGGGGGCCGGGGTCTCCGAGGACTGGGGGTATGAAGGAGTCTCCGAAGGCTGGGGAGCAGGGCTCTCGGACGATTGAGGGTAGGATGGAGTCTCGGATGGCTGAGGAGCAGGGGATCCGGAGGGCGCCGGCTGGGAACCAGCGGGAGCAGATGACCCGGGTCCAACGGGGACCAGCGGGACAGTAGTCTCTCCAGGAACAGAAACCACAGGAGTAGACTCAGCGCCACAGTAGGTCTCGGTCACATAGACGGTCGTCACCTGCACGGCGCCGCTCGACTGGGGGCCAGGGCCGTAGGGCACGGAAGCACTGGAGGCAGGACCACCAGGTACCCAGCTAGTCGACGCACCAGCGCCAGGGACACCCGGAGCGCTGGAAGACGGAGCAGGAGCCGGCTGGCTGGACTGAGGGGCGGGGGTCGAAGCCGGAGCAGAGCTGGAGCCAACAGAGCCAGCACCCGAGCCCGAGCAGGAATCAGCCGTCAACTTGATGTTCTCGCAGCCAGTGACGGAGGAGTTTTCAGTGGTGTAAAGGTTCAGTTCATTGTCGTCGCCAGTTTGGCAGGCAACAAAATCGGCGTCACCCTTGTACTCCAGCTCGCCAGAGGAGGTGATAGAGAAACCCGACATAGGAGATTTACCCAAGTCACACTGGAACTGTGTAGTCTCGCCTGTCAGGAATGTGTGGTTAGTAACATACCAGTTATAATGCATATGTGGATAGCTTACTAGTCACAACACAACCGCGTCCGCTGCTATCAGTGATGCCACCGTTGGAGTCAATGCAGAACTGGGCTGCGGGAAGTCCACCACCGATGCGGTTCTGACCATCACCCAGCTGGCCAATGGTGCCAGAAGCATCACCAGAAGCTGTCAGGTGGAAGCAGCAAGAGTCGCTCCGGCCAACAAGGGCATTAGCCCCAGCAGCGAAGGCTGCAAGGGTAGCAACGTTCTTCATACTTGCAAAAGCGAAGGTAGGCGACAGCTAGAAAGTAAGCGAACGGATTGGGGGAGATGTAAGAATAAAGATTGTTTTTGGAAGAGTTATTGGCCGGGGTAAACTAACAAGCAAGCCGAAAAACCCAGGGTACGCTCAATATTTATAAACTATAGTGGGTACATAAAAGGCACGTCATGGGCAATTGCCGGTGGTAAACCGGACAGAGTCAACACGCACACCTCCACAGAACAACAGTTCGAAAAAATAGAAACAAACATTCAGCCAGTTGCATTGCTTCTGTTGGATTGGCAGTTGACCATGGAAAAGAAACATGGAGGGCCACCGTTGATCCCACTAGGCACCACCGGACAGCGAATAAACAAGCTGCAAGTTGTCCGACAACGCCGGGCCTGGAAGCTTCGGGATTGAAGGAGCAATGAAAGCAGACGTCATGAGCATTGGGCCTTGTGGAGGGGGTTAATTCTATGAGAAACACCCGATCTGGAAGTTGGCTGTGAGATAGAAGCGGTATCAGTGGCTCGGGCGATGCAGGGCACAAGCCAACTGTGGACCCAGCCCCATCGAGCAGCCTTTGGATCGGCCGGGAACCCTGCCCTGGTCAAGACCTTCCGGACTCATGGACTCAGGCGACTTATTGCGAGTCCGGTGGCGAGATGGCAATGCCACCCACGGTACAACACGCCATTCAGCCATACATAGCGAGCATTGTTGTTATCCATACAAGGAACATGGGTAGGACACCCATGGGCCTGCTTCTATTCATAATCGCTCACAGCGGAAAACCGGGAACGCAAGGTAAGCGACAATGCTCTATGCTCGACATAAGCAATCAATACTGAGTGCAAGTATCGAGCATAGACCGCGTAAGTCCGGAGGGATGTGGTGGGGGAGCTATAGCCACCATCACGGCCTAACAACAGGGAAGGATGGGAATCCTGGGATTAACCGGGGAAGGGTGCCTTGCATTATGCTCAGAAGGGCTTGGACTCGAAGCATATACGACGTGCAGTGCGGAGTAGGGGGATGCGGTTGACGTTGACTCTTGCCTTGGATGTGTTGCTCAGGACTTCGGTGAGCAGCTTTTGGATCTCGCTTGGGAAGCAGTAAAGCCCGCGTAGCAGCAGTACAGCGAGCGACTGCATGTCATGATGGAATAATCCTTGGCATGGTGGATTATTGATGAGTTGATTATTCGATGAGAATGGTCATCAGAATGGAGATGAGGGACTATCATTCTACTCTTTGGGAAGGTCGGAGAAACCCGGCAGAACCCAGTCCACCAGGAACAATGGTAAATCCGTATCCGCGGGTGGGGGATGACGCCAGCCTCGCTGGACTTCCTCCATCCAGCTTCCATGAGGCTTCCAGGATCCATCGTCCTATTCCTTCTCTCGTCTGCCGGCAATACACCACCCGAGCCACTGCGCCACGTCATGGGGAATTCTTGCTGACCCTATGCCTGGCTCGCTGCCTTTCCCTCCCGAGAATGCAGAGCGGAAAAAGAAATTGAATATGAACTAAAGACCGGTTCTAGGCAACTCTGAACAATAACCAATCTGCCTCCATGGGACAATGGTAGCAGCCATGGTTGCCTAAGTGTTTACCCAAACGGTAATGATCAATTGTGTCAACAAACGATACACAAACAGATATACTATGAGCCGTACATATATAGAAACAACCCGGTCAACGGCAACACAATCCCAGGATTCCGGCCTGACCAGCCTCGTGTCATTGGCGTCCATCTGACAGGTGGGCAACGCAGCCCTGTTGGCCGCCAGTGCCCTATAAGCTTCGCCGGCATCTGGATGGCTGCGCGATCGATTTCAATCTATACTCTTTTAGCCATTTTCAATAATACTTTCCTATATTATTATTCTGCATTACATCTCCGGAACACGATTAGATTCTCCGTCGCGCTTCTGCAGTGCGTCGTAAGTAAACCCGCCCCATCCTGGCTCCATGCTTATCTCCCCACCTCAGCATTTCTCAATCTCTTGAACATCGAACTCTGGTTCGAACCATATAACCAGTCTATCCTGAAACACGACTTCTCAGTCAAAGCAGTCTCATTGGGCCTCCGGGGGTTCCTTATCACATTTTCACTCTCTCTCACCCTATTCACGATACTCAAAAATCCAGTCTCATCAAAATCAAAAGCAAAGCCGTTGAGAACGGGGCACTTTGCAGACCAAATCCCCGCACTGCACTCTGTAGAAGCTTACGTACACCCTCACCTAACAACGGTCAATCAAGGTCTAGACAGTTGGCTAGAATCCACCTAAACTCTGATCCCTCTCTACTCTGTTAAGTGAGTGATGTGCTGGCCCACCGTCCATGTGTCCAGGATGGGCAAACAAGTGGGATATCCCTCGACCTGTTCGATTCCAGACCTTCACACTAAACGAGCAGCACAATGCTCCGAACAATGGACACATCCACAATTCGAATTTTCCACGATTTTCTTCCTCTCTTTACCCTTCATTCAGTCAAGGATCGGTCCGACCGACGGACGGGCGGAATAATGCTTATGCAAAGCATTCTATAAACGATCCAAATGACAAGACACAGATGGATGCCTGCAGGACTCGCAAATTTTTGATTTCGTCGGACATGCCGGGGTTGGGCAACAACAACCCCAACATAGCTCAAGTTAAACAAGTTAACAATCAATTAGTGATTCCCTTGACTAACAATAATGTAATGCGCACGTCCATCAGTGTCTCACACGATCCAAGCTGGTTGAATTGAACTAGAGCTGTCAGAATCAAGTACAGCACATCAGTTCCATGTCGATCTTCATTTTAAAGTCCAGCTGCCCAGTCTTGACCTCATCGAGTCCCTAAGCAACCGGCGATCGATCAGGCAGCCCAGATCGACTCTAAAATCACAAAGTAATAGAGCATTTTCCCATTTCTGGGCCAGTCAGCCAGATAGCCAGTGTGTATCTGACGTAAATAAATAAATGAATAACTACTTCATCAAGTAATGAACGCTGATCATTCAAATCCCTACGATCTTCGTGCGGTCTGCCCCGATAACTATTGAACTAAAAGCAGCCATCAATGATCTGTTTATGATGTAAACATAATTATGATTGCTGCGAAACTCTGTCGCGTCTTTGAGCTAGCGGGGTAGGGGAAAGATGGAGCTCGATCAATGTTCACATGTTGAATCTGAGATGGATGGATAGACGTTGCTTGTAAAGTCATATAGCTGAACCACTGGTTCACACTTGTGGCTGGCAGTCTCCGTGCTTGTTGACTTGGATATCAGGTAGTATCTGGGTATCATTGATAGATGCTGAACTTCGGAGAAGAAGCGCTTATTTATTAACCATCCCATGGAAACTTGACATAATGCAGAAATCTTATCGTTATCCAGGTACATGGTTCACATTAGACCTAGACTATTGCCACAATCACTGTTACAGAGAGTTTGAGAAGGTTTTATGGTATATATATGTGTAGTATGTCGAGGGTGAAACGTAACCATATCTCCATCTGTAACTGACCGTAAGTACTCAATTGAGCCCAATACACCCAGTAACGGAAGCACAGTCAGAGAGCCCTATTCTTCATTCTTGGACTTCGAACTTTGAATGACTATACCATGGGAAAGCGGTATAGTCATGCCAAGGTAGAGACTACCTTGGTTTCAGTCCTTTCTACGGCACAATGGGAGAATGAAAATATCGCAGTATCATGCATCTGTGCATCGGTATATATTGGGTATCTGTTTTGGTTTCGTTCTATCTTAGCTTACCTCATGCGGGCAGCCTTGAATCTGCTCACCCGTCTGGGCGTATCCTCAGTCTCAATTGGCACGATTTCCGGCTCCTCGCCTACGAAGCCGCCATTTTGCTGGATCATGCGGTTCCGGATCTTGTAGAACTCTGTTGCAATCTCCTTCTTATGCAGCTGCTCGTCGAGCTCATCGGGCTCTGGTGCTACTGCTGGACCTGCCGGGGTCTCCCGTTCAACGAGCGTATCGGCAAGAATCTTCCCTTCGGGGCCCCTGGGTGTAGGGTCTTCTTGCTCCACGATGTCAGAGATAGGCTGGGAGAAGGGCTTGGGTTCCGCTGGTTTCGCAGGGAACAAAGGTAGAGATGGCCCAGTGGTAGATGTCTCAGTCTTGCGTAGAGCCGAGCGAGGTTCGGCAGGTCGAGAAGTGCTGCTAGGTTGGGTTGTTGACGCAGTGGCGTCTTCAGTTGCGTTGTTGGTTTTCCGGGCACTCTTGAACCGTGATACTTTCTTCGGGGCGTCACTCTGCACAGATTCTTTCCGAACAGGTTCTGTGCGTTCAACAACAGCATCCTGAAGAACAGGCACGTTAGACTCTCGGACCGGAGCGACCTTCTTCTCCACAACTGGAGGCTTGGAAGCCGGAGCAATGTCGAGTTCGTCAGCAAAAGCAACCTTCTTCTTCGGTTTCTTCTCCTTGACTGGCTCGCTACTCGCGTCTGCCTTATTCTCGACACGTACAACACTGGGCTGATCTAGGTCCTGTTTTATTTCGTTCGGAAGCGTTTGCGTGTCTTTTCCGGCATTCCACATTCCCCGAGCATTAAGCTTTTCCTCCAGCTCGCGCATCTGACGGTGATAGTCTTCGCTCAAAACACGCCTAGTGCTCCTTCCATATTCGTCCTCCTCTTCATCTTCGTCATCGTCATAATCATAAGCATCATAGTCTTCATCAACAGAAATATCACTTGCGTCTTCATCCAACTCAAGCTCCGCCACGACAGACCCGACTTCGTTCAGACTATACTGGAGCATCTCACGGCGTAATTTAGCATCCTCCGGAGACTCGTCGACTTCCATAACAGGACGCTCGCCATGAATTTCGACGGTCGGGTCTAACGCAGAGCTTGTCTCCTTAGCATCGCTTCCCAAAGATTTGACGGAGGGCTCCTCGCTGGCGGATGTATCGTATTCACCAAGACTGTCTGCGGAAGACGCCTCCTCCGTACTCTTAGTGACTTGCTGAGAAGAGCTCGATACTGGCGTATCGGCCTTAGCTACATCAGGTATATCCTTCACACCAGCCTTCTTCAAAACCTCCAAAAGATCAGTGGCCTCGCTGCCGGGTGTGGTTGTCTTGCTTGAAATAATCTCGCCGTTTTCATCGAGTTCTTCGAAAATCTCAGTCATAGGAAAGTCCGCCGTAGGTTCCACCGGTAACCGATCTTGGGAGTCGAGCGCGTACAGTTGATCCTCTGCTGCACGTAGCCGTTTCTCTATAGTCGACGCATTTTGCTTCACGTAGTCGATTCGCCTCGTTACCAGATCAACCGCCTGTTGCTTGGTTCGTGTCACGCCTTGTTTCTCTCCCAAAATCACTTTGACCTCCTCTTCATTGACCAGGGAGCCACCAAAGTCGCGTCCTACTCGGAGGTAGTCATCCATTGTCGCATCGTCGTCCAGCTCGTTTATCTCGTCTTTGAGGCCATCGTATTCGGCCTCCCACGTCCTCCAGTGGTAGAGGGAATCTTGTAGCTTCGAGATGTTCCCCTCGAGTTCGAGGCGCTGGCGTTCCAGCTCATGCAGGCTGTTGTTTGGAACACCCATTGTAGAGTAGGCTTATCCGGGGAAAGCAGCCGTTTAGGAGGAGAGTAAAAGTGCACTGAGAGGGGGGATGTCCGAATAGAAAGAGAAGGAAGGCGGCGGCAAAGAAAAAGTTCCGCCGCGGAACAAGAGCGGAGAACAGAACATGATTGGCCCGTGCACGCAGCTGGATTATCAACCTTCCATGCCACTGAGGAATCACCGTCAATTGTTCTTCCTCCCAACCTGTCGCGTGCCTCACGTACTGTGCTGTTCAGAGCCTCTTTGAGCTGCAGTGACCCTCAAAATGCCTCCTGCTCGCGATATCATGGCTCACCGGGGGGATGATGACGGTAAGTCTAGTTCCCATGACCCTTTTGAATATAAACTGACTGTCAGCAGAGGTGTGCCCTGTCTGCAAATCCTCGCGGTATCTGAACCCAGACATGCGATTTCTTATCAATCCCGAATGCTACCACAAGATGTGTGAGTCCTGCGTGGACCGGATCTTCTCCTCAGGCCCCGCGAACTGTCCTGTGGCGGGCTGTCACAAGACCCTGCGCAAGAACCGGTTTCGCAAGCAGACATTCGAGGATATTAATGTGGAAAGGGAGGTGGACATTCGGCGCAGAGTGATGCAGATGTACGCCACGAGCAAAACCACTAGGTCCAGAAATGGTCTCACTAATTCTTCTCTAGTCTCAACCGCCGCGAAGAAGAGTTTGATTCGAAACGAGCATACGATGACTTCCTAGAACAACGCGAAGAGATAATAGCGAACCTTGTCCATGGCACAGATGTGGCGAAGACGGAAAGCGACCTGCAAAGATATGCTGCAGACAACATGCGGTCGATTCGCGCCAACCAAGCCCTCGAGGCACAAGAGGCCTCGTCCTTCCGAGAACAACAGACACACGAACAAGAACTGGCACGTCTTCGGCGAGAGGCAGCTAGGCTGGAATATGAGAATGAGCGGAAGGAAATGCTGGCCGGTCGAGAAGATGTCCTCAGCCGTCTTGCGGCAGGTCGACCTGGCGACGCAGCGGCTATCGCCCGCGAAGGCCACAAGGTGTTGCTCAAGAAATCTTCTGCTCGTCGTAGTGAAGAAGACCGCATCCGACAAAAGCAAGCTGCTTTGCGTAATTCCGATGCCAGGAAGGCCGGCCAGGGCGCCCTCACCACGGCGGACAGGGCAGATGACAGTGGTGATTCTGGTCTGATCAAGGGTCTCAAGAAGATCAAGACGCCCGAGCCTGAAAAGCCTTACGATCCTTTTGGTGGCCTCATTCCCAACAAGAGGGACTATTATACTCTGCGCGACCATTACCCGAACAGCTACCTCGACCCTATTCGCCAGGACACTCGTATGCAGGCCGGTGGATACGACCTTCAAGAATACTACTCGCGTACTCTGATGGAGGCCTTTGCAGGTCTTGGGTGCTTCATTGATGAGGAAGTGTCCAAGCGAGAGGTTACAAGTACGATGGGTATTTCCAGACCTGTGGCTACTCAAGGTGCTGCCTTGGCGGCTGTTTCAAGTGCAGGCGCTCCAGAAGCCAGCTCGTGAGCTATGGTCATGATTTCTGATTTCCTCCGCTGATAGAGCTTCTGGATTTGGGTCGTTATATTATTGGTTGCGGCGTTTAGGCATTTGTGTTGCATAGCGATGGCGTTTTGTGACAGTTTTTGATAAGTCGGATAAGCTATATGACTGAGATTGTTCAATTCGTTCAGGTACAATAGGTATACGAACAGGTAAAGCTAGTACAAACCAATAAATTGCCTGACAAAACAGAATAAATAAAACCGAACTAGGAAAAAGAAAATAGTGTAATGTACAACCGTCTAAATAAATACATGGGCTCACAACTTGCCACCAGTGATCTGCTCTCCCAGCTGCTTGACTCTGTTCTGGATGACGTCCCAGCGAGCGGTCTCGCTCTTCCTGGTCTCGTTGACAATACCCTGGACAGTAGGGGGCACACCCAAGTTCCAGATGTTCTCGCCCTCCTGGTGGTCACTGCGCCAGGCCTCGTTCTCACCCTCGGGGAAGACCCGCTCAATTTCAGCCAGAAGCTGAGCCTCTGTGGTAATGAAGTTCCGAGCATTCATGTACAGCTCTTGCAGGTTGTCTTGACGCTCGGCCTCCTTCACAGCCTGCTGGTACTCGAGGCGGGCCTTGGACTCAGCCAGGCGGGTCTCGCGGTCAGGATCCGGCAGCACAGCGGTATGTTTGGGTAGCATGTCCTGAATGATGGAGTTACGGGTCAACCGCTGGTCTTCTCTCTCAGGCTGGCGGAGGATACGGTCCCGACGCTTCTGCTTCTCCAAACTCCGCTGCATCATGGCCTTGTCCGTCCGCTGCTTCCGAGTGTGTAGTTCCAGGAGACCTTCGCGGAGGTTCTTGCGTCTCATCTCCGCCATGCGCTTCTTCCACTCAATGTATTCGGTGTTGGGGTCATTGGGATCCAAATTGGTCTCCTTAGTCGGAAGAGGCGTCGCGGCATTGATGTATGCCTCTGTCGGCTTGTCCTTGCGGCGGGCCGGGAAGAGTTCTCGGGGGACGGGCAGGGTACCCTTGACGCGGGGCTTCGAAGGAAGATCGGGCTGGATGGGTTGAGGGATGTCGACAAAGTTGGGAGACTCGGGGCCGACCCGCAGACAGGAGGATGAGGTGAAGCCGCGGAACTGCACGGTGGCAGCCCTGCAATTGCGGAAGAGAGACATGGTAAACAGTGTCTGTCTGCTCAAGGAGAGGGGCGGAGCAGAATTGGTGACTAGTGAATGGAAGAAAAAAAAAATTGATAGATAGAGACCAGGTAGCCGGTCTACTTCGGATCGAGGACCAGCACAAGAGGTGAGATGGCTGATGGCCTGCGCGGTGCTATTGCGGGAGTCGAACGAGGACGAAGCGATTTTCTTGCGCATGGTCCGTGCACCGCTTAGCTTGGCGCCCGCCTTTGGAGAAAAAAAATAATTTCCCGCGCTTCGAAACTTTTTTCCTTTCTTTCTCTTCCCTCTTTGCGCTCCGCCATTTCTTTTTTGTGACACTTTATACTTGATATTTTTCATATTATTCTTCTTCAAGGTGCCTTGAGCGCTTACTTGCACAATGGGTACCTTCAAGAAGGAAGCCACTCGTAAAGAGCGGCAGGGGAAGACTGGAGATGGCATGGGGAACGTCCGTGTAAAGGGTGAAAACTTTTACAGGTTAGTATTCTCCATACGACAGATGGTCCTGGATATGTGTACTGATTTCTGGAAGAGATGCGAAGAAGTTGAGGACCTTGAATATGCTCAAGGATGGTAAACCCCAACGTAACGCTGAAGGAAAGATCACGAAGGCTGCTTCGTACCAGTCTCGAGACGCCCCCGTCGCTAGGATTGAACCCAACCGTAAATGGTTTGGAAACACCAGAGTGATCTCGCAAGAGGCTCTGTCCTCTTTCCGTGAGGCGGTCGCTGAGCGTGCCTCTGATCCGTATTCCGTCTTGCTCAAGACCAACAAGCTTCCCATGAGCCTGATCAGAGATGACAAGGGTGTGAATGGGCTGAAGCAGCACCAGGCCAAGATGGCCATCGAGAACAACCCCTTCAGTGACACCTTCGGGCCCAAGGCTCAGAGGAAACGTGTCAAGTTGGGTGTCTCGTCGCTTGCGGATCTGGCTGGCGAGACCGCCAAGATGCACGACGCCTTTGTTGAGAAGTCGGACCATGCTACTTATGAAGATGGTACTATGGTGGTGAACGGTGATGATGTCGCAGTAGAGGAAGACTCTAGTGTCGCGCCCATCGCGAAGGAGGCTGTCTTCCTCAAGGGACAGAGTAAGCGTATCTGGAACGAGCTCTACAAGGTCATCGATTCCTCCGATGTTGTCATCCATCTCCTTGATGCTCGTGATCCGGAGGGTACACGGTGCAAGAGTATTGAGAAGTACATCCGAGAGGAGGCTCCTCACAAGCACTTGATTTTCGTCCTGAACAAGTGCGATCTCGTACCTACAGGTGTGGCGGTAAGTCTATCTTCGCTTTCTTTCTCTCATTGCAATTTCCCCTTTTCCTTTGATCTACAATACGGCTCTTCGCCGTTGCCATCGCTAAGTCAAGGCGCCTCCTGCGACTTTATGTCGCGCTATTCGCTATGGGAGACTGTCTGTTACAGCTTTGGCAGATTGACGCTGGTCCGCGCCGACCTTCTTTCTGAAGCTAGGCTGATTGGTTTTCGTTTTGAAAGCCAATCGTTAAGGACCGAGCTGTGTTCTGTTTTTGAGTTGAGTCCTGCTTCCGCTCTTGAAGTGGCATCATAGCAGGTCTCTTAGTAACATTTCACACATCCTGTCATCATACTTTTGTTTCTTTTCTTCTTTTACTATGCTATACTCTGATAGCAACGCTGGTGTTCAGCTGCTAACGTGACACCAGGCTGCTTGGGTTCGCCACCTTTCTAAGGATTATCCTACCCTGGCTTTCCATGCTTCTATCAACAACTCCTTCGGAAAGGGCTCGTTGATCCAGCTACTGAGACAATTTTCTTCTTTGCACTCGGACCGGAAGCAGATCTCCGTGGGATTCATTGGATACCCCAACACTGGAAAGTCTTCCGTCATCAACACCTTGCGCAAGAAGAAGGTGTGCACTGTGGCTCCTATTCCGGGTGAAACCAAGGTGTGGCAGTACGTTACCTTGATGAAGAGGATCTACCTCATTGATTGCCCTGGTGTTGTTCCTCCAAACCCGAATGACTCTCCTGAGGATATTCTTCTCCGTGGTGTCGTCCGTGTGGAGAACGTAGAGAACCCTGAGCAGTACATTCCAGCTATTCTCAAGCGTGTTCAGCCCAAGCATTTGGAGCGTACCTACGGTATCAAGCGCACTGACGACCCCATCGAGTTCCTCAGTCTCCTCGCCCGCAAGGGTGGTCGCCTCCTCCGTGGTGGAGAGCCTGATCTCGACGGTGTTGCCAAGATGGTCATCAACGATTTCCTTCGTGGAAAGATCCCTTGGTTCACTGCCCCCCCTCACAACTCTGGCGAGGAGGGCGAGAAGATTGAAGGACGTGAAGGTCGCCTCGGTGAAATGAGCCGCAAGCGGAAGCTTGATGAGACCGCTCCTGAGGCTGCCGATACCACTGAAGCCGCTGAGAAGCAAGAGTCTGGCTCAGGAGATGAGTTCGAGGGCTTTGACGAGGAAGATGATGATAACGACTCGATCGCCAATCTCGAGGTTAGCGACGAGGAGAGCGGAGCAGAGGAAGATTAAACAAAAGATCTACTCTGAATTACTTTCAACACCTCGCGGATCGCCGATCCGCCCGTCAGTAACCCATTGACCTTGGGCCCATGTCGTCGCCCTTCCAACGGGAGCGGAACCGACAGTCACGCCATGCCCGACCGATCATCGGGCCGCTGACAAAAAGCTGTATGGCCCACTGGCATCCTTGACGATGCAGATCGATCGGAGGTCGGAACGCCACCGAGCATATCCAGTCCAGGCCTGGTTTCACACGGCCTTGCTGACATGCCACCTGGACAGCTTGCCTGCCAGTACATGTCAACCCATGCAGGAAAGACCGGGATCCGAGCCAGCCATCCCTCGGCCCCACTGCTTTTACTTTTAGATACCCGCATAGTGCTGAGAAGCATAGCATCAAATCAAGAGAGAGATCGTCTGATCACCCATGATCGTGCATTTATAGTATTCCGCGTACATTGTAGTTGAATATACGAGTAAAAAGCATTTCTGGCCGCGACGCGGGCGACTTCCCAGCTTCACCGCCAGGGCCGCTCACGTGCGCCCAGCCTCACTCTCGTCATCCGGTCTCCGCAGCAGCGGCCAGAACATGCCAGCTACTGCTTAAAGATCGGCCCCTTTTTCATGGCTTTGCGGCCTTGTATTTCTCTGCGTCCTTTAAGCATGGGCTGCTCTGCCTGCTATAATGGCGGACGAAGGCATGTCCATTGTTCCCTACGGGTCAGGCAATCTTGACGTCGTACTGTAAGCTTCCGCTCCAAGCTTCCCCTCACCCCGAGCCTGGCTTCCCCACCAGACACTTGCCCAGTATGAAGATATTTCTGACAATGCTTCTTGACAAGCCGCCACAACGACTCTGTCGTTGTTTTCGACCGAGATTCCCAGCAACTTGTTCTTCGACATGCAGCCGAAAGCGATGACGGCAACCTGGAGCTTGCTGACTGCCCGTATTGCCATCGACCCCTACGTGATAGCAGCTCGACCCAGGACGACCACCATGGCGGAACGCAGCCGGAATTTATCAACCCACACTATTTCCGCATGCTCCATAATAGCTTGCCCAGCTCTGTGAGCTCATCGAGCCCTCCGTCACCCCGTCGACGTCTGGTGCCGCCCGCACTTGCAGACGGTCCCACCAGCGAGCCCAGCTACTCGGGTAGCGGCATACATTCTACGCAAGGAATCTCTTCCGCCGCTTTTACGCAGGACTACTTCAAGAAGTTCTTCGTGGAAGAGACGGTTTTAGGAAAGGGAGGGAAAGGAGTGGTTTTGCTGGTAAAGCATGTGCTGGACGGTGTATCGCTCGGACAGTATGCCTGCAAGCGGGTACCCGTTGGAGACGATCATGAATGGCTAGAGAAAGTGCTCGCAGAGGTGCAATTGCTGCAGCATCTTACACACCAAAACCTTGTTTCATATCGACATGTGTGGCTAGAGAACGCGAAGATCAGTACGTTCGGGCCCAGTGTGCCTTGTGCATTCATTCTTCAGCAATATTGTAACGCTGGGGATCTGCATAACTATATCTGTGGTTCGGTTGAAACTCCGACAACCACTGAGCAGCTGAAGGAGCGTCTGCGCAGAAAGTCCCGAGGAGGGCCGGAGCCTCCGTCTGAAGCTGGTGGCCTTCGCAAGTTGAACTTCGAGGAAATTTATTCTTTCTTCAAGGACATCACCTCGGGGCTGCGCTACCTCCATGCTAATGGATACATTCATCGTGATCTGAAGCCAAACAATTGTTTGCTTCACAAGACCAGTGACGGAATTCGAGTGCTCGTGAGCGACTTTGGCGAGGTTCAGGCGCAAGACTCGATGCGGAGGTCTACTGGGGCGACCGGGACGGTTTCGTTTTGCGCTCCGGAAGTTCTACGGCGAGATTATCCAGGGGGTCCATTTGGGAACTTCACCTTCAAGTCCGATATCTTCTCTTTGGGAATGATTCTCTACTTCCTCTGTTTTGCGCAGTTGCCCTACACGCACGCCGACCTGATCCATGAGGAGAAAGAGGACCTCGATCAGCTCCGTGAGGAAATCAGCCATTGGGCTGGGTTTGACGATGCGCAATTTATCAGGCCGGATTTGCCTGGGCAGCTCTACACATTCTTAAAACGTCTACTGTCCTTGGACCCTGACGGGCGGCCGTCTGCAGACGAGGTTCTGAGCGGCCTACAGGCTGGTGCCAACGTTAACGAGAGTTTTCGATCAAGAAGGACCAGTCCAACAAGCCCTGACATACGTCCAAGCGCGAGGATTCATCCGGTGGAAAGTACGGATTCTCCAACCTTCCGGCCATCCAGCTCTCCGAACAAGTCTCTGACACGGAGTCCAGTGGCTGTACGACGAAATCCACTGTATGAGCCGGATGGTGCTGAGGCTGCATCGAGGCCGGTTGTAGAAGAAACAAGCCCATTGTCAGAGCGAAACACTTCGCTCAGCCCGGAAAACGACATGATGGTGCGGCCTTGGTTCTCCAGCGCACAATCGCACTCTCCCGCACAAGCCGAACATCGCGAGGTTTCCCAGGAGCCACCGCAGCCTGTCCAACAGTTACTACCCCCGCCTCCCGGTCGTTTCTCCCTGGCTAGAGTCTTCCCGGGCGCTGCATCACTCATCGACTCGCAGATCCCTGCAGTGGCGTTGCAACTGGCGGCATTCCTGCTCAAGGTCGTCTCCACCTTCCAGCCCTGCAGTCCTCTAGCAGTTAATCCCTGGGTTGCTTATCCTCTACTTCTGCTGGCTGCGGTCAACTTCCCAGCCGCTGGGCTATGGACCCAGATTGTTTCTCTTCTCCTCCACCTTTTGATTGTCAGTTTGTCAATGCGGATGGAAGCACTGTGCTGGCGGGCATCACATAGTGCGATATTATTTTCTTGATAGCTACGCCACATCGCGGCGTACCGGCGTTGCGTGTGTGGTCAAAAGTGAGCAGGAAGTCTGTACTTCCCAATGTATCGGGCCTGATGATATATGTATAATGAACGAATGATGAACCACCATTTTCTTTGGGTTCTTACCTGGCTTGGCGATCCTGTAGTCTACCTATCTATTAGTATTCCCCCAATGAGTAGAATATGTGAGGAAGTTGGCCAAGACTGCGAAGGATCGGACTAAATGGCTTACCTGCATTAAGCTCGCATCAGCCCGGGGGGCAATCACCTCATCGACTTCTCGTTCCTGATTGGCACAATTCCGGATTTACAGGACGCTCCATCATTTGCTTTTCTGATAGCTTCTGCCTGGTTGTTTCTTATCTCTCTCTTATAGTAGCCGGCCTCCCCGCTGCAATTTCGCTCATGCTTCTAGCTTCAGTTTCTTCAGTCTCTCTGCCCCCTGTCCGGCATGGCAATAAGCCCAGAGGCCATCGAGCTCTCGGAAGCTACACACCCTGGGGATGATTTCGAGAAGCTCCAGCAGGTTCCGGAAGATTTGGTCGGCGACACTACCGTCCTACAGAATCATGAAACTAAGCCTGAGGCCGAGTCCGAGCCCGATGGGGCCATCTATCCCCACGGGGTCCAATTCGTCCTCATTTCCCTGTCCCTTTGTTTCTGTGTCTTTCTGGTTGGACTGGTGAGTGCTACTATTCGCAAATCTCTGTACGCTGGTTAATGTCAAATTAGGATGCCACGATCTTAACCACCGCTGTTCCGCGTATAACCGACGAGTTCGGGTCGGTGGCTGATGTTGGTTGGTATGATGCTGCTTTGTAAGTCTATCCTACAGATTAGCATCAGCCCTGTACATCCCTGCTAACTGCGTCCAAGTCGACTCACCTCCTGCATGTCGCAGCTCTCTCAGGGAAAGCTATATGACAACTACCCGGTCAAATGGGTCTTTCTCGTCAACCTACTGCTGTTCGAGGGTGGCATCCTTCTCTCGGGCCTGGCGCCGAGTTCGTTCATCTTCATCATTGGAAGGGCCATAACCGGCTTGGGTTTCTCTGGGATCAGTCAAGGGTGCATGGTGTAAGCACCACAGTACGTGGAGGCATGTCTGCAAACTAACAATCATCCAGCATCATTGCAATCTCTACGCCTCTACGAAGACGACCGACGTTTGTTGGCCTAATCAGCGCCAGCGAATACACTGCCATCGCCATAGCCCCTATCCTGGGAGGCATACTCACATCCGACCTATCCTGGCGATGGTGTTTCTACATTAATCTGCCCGCTGCAGCGCTACCATCCGCCGTGCTTCTTCTTCTCAAACTCCCGACCATCACCCCCAGGGGCTCAAAAACACACATCCAGAAGCTCCGCGAGCTGGACCTACTCGGATTCTTCCTCTTCGCACCCGCAGTACTGTGCCTGCTTCTCGCGCTCCAATGGGGCGGCGATACCTACAGCTGGACCAACGGACGAATCATCGCCCTTCTCGTCCTCTCGCCCATTATTTTCACGGGCTTCTGTCTCCTCCAGCACCGCAAACAAGATACCGCCATGCTCCCACCGCGCGTCCTCCGTAAACGCATCATTATAACCGGCGCGGCCTTCAGCCTGTGTCTCTCAGCCTGCCGTGCCATCGTCCAATACTACGTACACTCCCCATTTCCCTCCCTCCCCTCTAAACACAAACTAACCAACTCCAGCTCTCAATCTGGTTTCAAACCGTCCGCAACGCCACCCCACTCCAAAGCGGCCTCAACACCCTCCCCCTAGTCATTTCCGTCCTCATCAGCGCCATCACCGGCGGTTGGCTCATCTCCCGCACACGCACCTACACCCCGATCCTCCTCCCCGCCTCCCTCCTCGTCATCGCCGGCATCGCCCTCATGACAACCTTCACCCCCACCACACCCGCCAAGCTCTGGATCCCATCACTCATCCTCCTAGGCCTCGGCTCCGGCAGCGCCGTCGGCGTGCCCTTCATCGCCGTGCAGGCCATCCTCCCCATGAAGGATATCTCCATAGGCATGGCGCTGATGACCTTCTCGCAGGACATCGGAGAAGCGGTGTTCATCAGTGTTGCGCAAGCCATATTCTTGAACCGTCTGACAGGGGATTTGGCGGAGAATGTGCCCGGGTTGAATCCGATGATGGTGACGCATTTGGGTGCGACAAGCTTGGAGGGTAAGTTGCCTGGGAAGTACTTGGATGCGGTGGTGGGGGCGTATGATGTTGCGGTTAGGGGGACTTTCTTGTTGGCAGTGGCGTTGGCAGGGAGTGTGTTTGTGGCAGCGGTTTTGGTGAAGAGGAATCCGTTTAAGGTTGATAATGAATTGGGGGAGGGAGATAGAGATGAGGGTACTGGTAGTGGAGGTGTATAAGACGATGGCTTTGATGTATGTCGATACAGTGTATAGTAGTGTCTACGATCGATGCACAATGTTGGGAAACTCGCTCGGACACAGAAGGGCTGAACATCACCCAGGCATGATTGTTGGTCTGTGTAAGCAAGTCGCAAGATTGTC